ATTATTATTATTATTATTATTATTATTATTATTATTATTATTATTATTATTATTATTATTATTATTATTTATTCTGTTTCAATATGTATCTTATCCAACTCTGAAATTCCCAAGTTAAAACCATACTCCCTTTTATCTTCTTTATATCTTGATTGTATTTTCAATTGTGAAAACCATTCTATATCAATCCCTTGTTCTTTTAATTCTTGTTTTGGTTTAAGTTCTCCCATTTCTGTTAAGATATTTTTGTACCTAATAATATTTTTCATACTACTAATATTTGGATGTGTCAATGCTTTCTTTGTTGAAAGCCGTGTTGGTATTTCTAAATGTTTCCCTTTTACTCTTTCCCATATTGTTAATAATTCATTCCTTACATAATGTCTTTGAAAATAGCCATATGCCTTGCTTTTACCATACCACAAAAAACATGCCAACCTAGTTGCAAACAATGACCCTCTAATGTTAATAATGTTGTATTTATCAATAAAATCCATTCTTTCATCCAAGTTAGTTCCACTGCTTGATAATACAATTCCCAGTTTGGTAATCCAAATCCACCTCGTACTCTTGAATCTTGCAACATTTTTATATTAATTCTTGCTTTTTTCCCTTGCCATATGTATTTCCCTACTATTTTATTCATACTTTCAAAGTATTTTTTCTCTAATTGTATTGGTACTGTTTGGAATAGTTATAGCAATCTTGGTAATATATTAATCTTTACTATTTTTTATATGTAGAGTCAGGTTGCTTTTAATAATGGAAATTACGAATGCAAAAAATATGCCTACTGTATCATGAGACTGAGTACTCTCAAGCATTTAGTCATGGTGATGTAATAGTCCTGCCATCATAACCATAATCTCCACCACACTTTACTGGCAATCACATATATGCATTCCTGCCAACTTTACGTTTGGTGTATATAAAAAATATGATGGAGCTAATAATGGCACCAGGCTAAAAACCAGAAAAACATGATTTCTATTCCAGCCTTAAACCCAAAGCCATCTGGGTGATTTGGGCCAGTCACTTTCTCTCAGCCAGGGGAAGAAGGAAATGGCAAATTATTTCTGAAACATCTTGCCAAAAAAGCTGTGTGGACTTTGGATCACTGACTTAGAGGAACAACCACAACAACAAAAGTGAAGAATCAGAGCATCTCACTTCTGTCATGTTGACAATCACCCCAGGCTTTATGACTTGGAGAATTGTATTATTACCATATTTTTCAAATTACAAGACACACCAGACTATAAGACACACCTAAATTTACAGGAGGAAAACATTAAAAAAAATAGTTTTTGGCCTCCACGCATAGCGTTTTTGCTCTTCCCGGCCCCCAGAAGCACTCTTCACTCTCGCATGGCCTATTTCACCCAAAATAGGCCTGATTTTGGGTTTCCAAGCCCTCCGTGTATCGCATTATCACCCTCCCCGACCCCTATAAGCACTTTGCAGGCCAAAAATGGGTGCCTTTTGGCAAAAACAGGCTGTGCGGAGCATTGCAGAGTGATTCTGGGGGCTGGGGAGGGTCAAAATGCAACATATGGAGGGTTCTGAAGGCCAAAAAGGCCCATATTCAGTCTATAAGATGCATCTAAATTTTCACCCACTTTTTGGGGGGAGTGCATCTTATACTCCGAAAAATACAGTAATTGATGTCATTTATAATTTGTAGTATAAAACAAGATATTTAGTTTTGCTATTATGTAATAACATTTTTTAAAAAAACCTATGTGGTTTATTTTATGTCAGTGGAAAATGACATTGGCCATTTAACCTGAGATCATCCAATGTCTCTGTGTGTGTGTGTGTGCGCGCGCGCGTGCACTCACATGCACATTTATTTCAGAATTGTTAAATTATTCTTTTTGGACTAATATCCCAAATTTTAAAAGAACCTATAAGTTGCATTGTAGTAATGTCCACACAGTTTCATGCTACTTCAGAGTTCTTTGCACTATTAAAGAGGTAACCCCTTCTATACTTACCCATTTGCCTATTAAATACATTTTTTCTAGAAAAGGGCAAATAGGATTCCACCAATAATATTCTAAACAGAGACTTGGCAGGGTATTTCTATCAGGAGGTTTTCAAGAGAGTCAAAATACTGGGCATCATCCTCACCTATAAGATTTCCCTGAGACATATCCATTGAGAATGAAAAGGGACTCACCTCTACAGTGTCTTGGTGATATAAGATCAAATGGGGGTATGGTCCTATCCAAAGTTTTAGCAGTGGTACATAGCGAAATTCTTCTGTATAATTAATTACCTGCTTCCAAAAACCTGGAAAATATACATTCAATTTACAAATGACAAGTTTATTGGTCACTGTTATTTTAAATAAAACATTTATATCTGTACTGAAGGTTTTTTGATCGTCACAAGGCAAAACAACAAGGTTTGTCAGTCAGTATGATACAATTTTTAAGAAACACAATTTTTTTAAAGAAAAACAAGGTTAGGGGTTTTTCTTAAAAATTGTATCGTGCTGACTTAGCAAATTCAGACAAAACAACCCTTCTTTCCTATTCTCCAAATGCAGCCCTTGATCTTAACAGAGTTTGTTTTGTGAGATATTCACTTTCAAATTACTGTAATATTTACTTCATAAAAACTATGTTTTAATGGCATTCTTAAGTGTGGTTAATTTAGTCATGGTATAGGTCCATGGTGGCTCTCTGTGGGCACGTGCGCCATCGCCCCAGCTCAGCTCTCCATGGTGTTTCTTTTCTGAGTTTATGTTTCCCTGCAAACAATGAAACAGAAGCTCATGAAAGAAAAAGATCTCACCTCTGGCAGAGCTGCCAATGCCCTGGCCAGCTGGTCTTTGGGTCTCTGCTACATATGTGCACATGTGCTAGCGCATGTGCACACAGTTTGGGCACTCAGTGAAGGTTTGCCATCACTGGTACATATGCTATACTGAGCCTCAATTAGTAAAGTATAAACAATGTTGTAGTGCTCTAGTAACAGGATGGGTTCCTGCCAGTTCTAACCTCTTCTATAGAAGAGGTTCCAGAAATCTACCATGCCATTTAGAACAGGTTCCAGCTCCCTCCCGCCGCCTGTCCACACCACTCTTGCCTGGCCCGTCACTAACTGATTGGCTGGCTCACCAATCGCCGCACCCATCTCCAAGAGTCCTATATAAACCTTAAAGTCTTAAAGCTGTCAAGTTTGAACATCCCTTGGGGTTTTTTTTCCTAAAGGGTTATGGGTGCAAGGGTTTTGTAATGTGACCAAGCTTTAAGACTTGTGTGCTTCAATGTTAGAGTTCCTGAGCCAATATGATTGGAGGAGGAATTCTGGGAGTTGAAGTCCACAAGTCTTAAAGCTGTCAAGTTTGAACACCCCTGGAGGTTTTTTTTCTAAAGGGTTAGGGGTGCAAGGGTCTTGTAACTTGACAGCTTTAAGACTTGCGTGCTTCAAATGCCAGAGTTTCTGAACCAACATTTTGGTTGCTAAGCAAGAGCGTTATTAAGTGAGTTTCACCACATTTTACAAGTTGGCCACGTCCATCTAGTCACATGACTGCCAAGCCACTCCCACTCAGTCACATGGCTGGCAAGCCACTCCCACAAAGCAGGCCACACCCACAGAAGAGGTTCTAAGAAAATTTGAAACCCACCACTGTGTAGTAAGTACTTTGAGTAAAGTCCAATAGAATATACAGGAATTGTCTCAAACTGAGAGAACTGCTAACCTTGCAATTTTTACTTTGCTTTGCAGATCATGTTCAAAGAGAAGCATATTAGAATTCACTCTGGTTCCCAGTTAAACTGTTTCTTTAGTTCTCAAAATAACTGTGTTCTGAAATGTAGTCTGTTATTAATATTACCAATCAGAATTAAACATGGATTGGACTTCAAACCAAAATAAATTTTCATGAAGTTTTATTGAAAAACACAGCTACTGCTACAAAAGTATGAAACAGACACAAGGGTGTTTTGTGATCCCACCAAGTGAGCAAAAAGGTAGCTAAAAATGCTTCTTGGGAACTTCCATTCCAGTGCTTTACATTTTATTATTAATCTTTTTAAATTGAATTTTCAGTGTAAGATGCCTAGAGACTTGGCGATGACATAAGTTTAAGAAATAAGTAAATTTATCCAATCTAAAATTATTTATTTTGGTTGATAATTAATATTTTTAAGAAAAGGAAGGAGGAAGGGAGGGGGGGAGATAATCTGGGAAAATCATATCACGACTAAGAGCTACTTTCCTTTTTTTCTGGCAAACTGGCCCTTGCTCTGATTTGTTACTAGTTTAGTATATAAGTAAAGTTCAGATTCAGAAGAGAAACTGATAAGCAGGTCATGAAAAATTGGGGATATAAGGATTTCATCTAATAAGGCATTATTAAATTATACACTCATGAGAAATGTGAATATTTTATTCTACTAATTAAGTAAACTAGCTTCAAAAATATAAGTTAAATTCTTAGTAGCTATTGCAGCACTGGTCACAAAGTAGTACTAAACAATTTAGAGCCGTGATGGCAAACCTATGGCACGCGTGCCACAGGTGGCACATGAAGCCACTTCTGAGGGCATGGAGGTGTTGCCCTGTCAGCTCCAGTGTGCATGTGTGCGCTGGCCAGCTGATTTTGGGCCTTAATTTTCGGGCGTTTTTTGCCCTCCGAAGGCTTCCCTAAAGGCTCCGGAGAGTGAAAAACCATCCAGTATGCAAACCAAAAGTTCAGGAAAGGACTTCCAGTTTACACGTTGGGCTGTTTTTCGCCTCTGGAGGTTTCAGGAAAGCCTCCTGAAGCCTACAAAGGGAGAAAAATGGCCCAATGGGAAACTCAGAATGCCTCTGGAGCCTGGGGAGGGGGAAAAAAGATCTACCAGGCCCACCGGGAGTCAGAAAACGGCCCGTTTCCAGTCTCCAGAGCACTTCTGGGAGATGGGGAGGCCATTTTTGCCCTCCCCAGGGTCCAAGAAAGCCATGCGCATATGCACAGGGCAGCAGGGGTGTGTGTAACATACACATGTGTAAGGGGTACAGCGCGGAGGGGGCATTAAATTATAAGGGTGGGCATGCAAGCACGCGCTAGTGTGTGCGTGCTTTTGGCACCTGAGACGAGAAAAGTTCGCCACCACTGATCTAGAGTCAAAGTGTTTACCAGTCAAACTGCAGGCCTGACTAGGGGGTGATAATATTTAAAGAGAAAAGAGCAATCACTTTAGATCAACACTTCTTGGAAAAAAGTCAGCTTTATTTGAAGCTCCTATTGATTTTAAAACAACCTTTGAGTTCTTTTCTAGTTTCCTTGTGACATAATTTGAACAGCTCTGTTTATTTACATTTACCAGTGCTTATACAGAAGCTGTATAAGGCAGGTTTCACTCTCAGAAGTAATCTTTTAGCTCTATTAATGTCTCAGTAGAAACCCATAAATAGAGAAACAGAGCTGGCCTATTTAATTTTTATATGAATAACAATTCATATAATTCTGGATGATTCTATCTTCCACTTTCCTAAATTCTGAACATTCCCAATCTGTTACACCCTGAATACTCAGTACCATTGTTAAAAACTAAGTTTATGTGAAAGGTTTTAAGTGCCCTGTCCTCCTCTTATAGCATGATTTTTTAAAATCTGTCAGTCCCACAAGATAGATCAGACCATAAAATCAATCTTTCAAGAATACTAGTATTACATTTGATTGAGATAGGTTATAACAATACAACCTTGAAGGTGTAATTGTACTTTCCTCCTTCTTATATCCCATTGAATCAGAGAGGCATTTGCCTGAGACACTTCTGATTATTATCTTGCTTCTCAGAACTGAAATAATGTTTCATTCCACTCTGCCCAGATAATGGTTCTTGCATGTTTCTAAGATCTGCCTTGCTCTCTACATTACCAATTAAAGTGAGACCAATATTGTGATGTCTTCAAAATACTATGTAAAGGTGACAAAATTAAACCAGACAAACCAAGTATATTGTACATATAAACTAGCAGTTCTCTTGAAATGCCTTAGGTTTTTGAGGTACTCACCTAGACTGCTTAAAATGCGCCCAGAACTATTTTTTTTTAAATTTCACCTTTATTGTTATAAACAACTGAGGACAGTGAACAAACTTGCCTCCAGACGTTGTGGGTACTCAAAGTTTTTAAGAATAGATTGGACAGCAAATTGTCTGAAATGATATACTGGCTTCCAATTCTGTTATTCTATTACTCCTTCCTCCTGTTTTTCACACAGCCCTGTGTGGTGTGTTGGCCAGAGAAAGAGAGAGAGAGAATGATCAACCCCAAATCACCTAGCCAGTTTTCATACCTAATACCTAAGGCTGGAAATATCTGTGTCTAGCCTGGTGTTTAACCACTAGGCCTCATTGGTTATCTATTTAATTACCTGCAGACATTTCTAGTCAGGAAGGAAAGTCTTCATCACAGCTACTATAGTATTCTCTGAGGCCAAAGCCTTTCCCAATTCTTTTACAAGATCCAGAATTCATCTTTCCATAGTTTTTGCTCAGCTGGTTAGAATTCAGTTCAATTTCTCACGAATACCCTTCTGAGTTGCAAGTTGTGTCGCAGTTTAATGTTCAGAACCCAGTCTGATTAAGGTAGAAGGACTAGGGCTTAATGCTTAAGGATTATGTTATGGTTGAACCCTTCATTCCTTTTCATATTATCTAAAATATTTATTTTTCATATCAATTCTAAAGTTCCATACAGCTTTCTGGTTAATATGTCTCAATATATGTGCTACATCTGTGATAAGACATAAACGTATCTTTGTGGCTACAAAAAGGTGGAGATGCTATCACACTTTATCGGCCAATGGCTATGCCAGGGTGCCGGAGTCTATATCATCACTCCTCTTATTATAAACGAGCTAGAAAATCAGATTTCTCTTCTGACTCCACTGCTAGAAACTAGATTTGATGCGAGACTGTGAAACTGAACTAAAATTAATACAGGAATATTATTATTTTATGTACTTTTGCTACATCAGTTCTGATTGATAGGGATACATGATTTTTGAAAATGGGAAATGTCATTGTTTAGTATTTAACTGCAAGCTTTTAAATACCTTCTCTCTATATCTATCTATCTATCTATCTATCTATCTATCTATCTATCTATCTATCTATCTATCTATCATCAGATTCTAGGACATCTAATGCACATTAAAAAGAAATCAATTTTATTTTATTTCCTGCCCTAAATTTGTTACTTTGTTTGGGTCACCAGCTTTTCCTTTTCAAGATGTACCCATCTAGCTGAACTGTTCTATCACCATGGGTAAATTAGTCTGATTTCCAATGTAGAGAATACAGTTGTCCTCACTTTCCTTCAGTGATAAATCATAACAGAATCTCAAGCTACTAGAATAGGGATATTGAATCTGAGATGCAGACACAGAATGGAGGGTATTTTTAATCCTAACTTTTAGGTTATCTTCTAATTTGGAAAATAATTCATTACGAAAGGGATGCTTCGTTCAGATGATTCGTCCGCAACGTCTAATTTTATGATGTTGTTAACCCCGCAGTTTCTCCCACGTCTTCCACCCTAACAACTTTCAAACTTTCGTTTTGGTCCCAAGCGCTTCCCCCCCCCCCACCGCTCCCCCTCCTCGCCGGCATTCACCAGCTGAATGGAATAAGCAGGTCGGAGAAGTTTATAGCCCGAACCGTCGCCGCGGCTCGCCCAAGACCCTTTGGAAGGAATGAGCGGAGAGTTATTTACCTTCGCCGTCGCTATCCATGAGCATAGAGTTACCCAGGATGGGATACCAAGGTCTGATCTCCGGGATGGCCTTCATCTCTTTCCATTTCCAATAGTTGCGGAGCACCAAGAAGGAGATGGCGGCGGCCAACAGAATTAAAGTTGAGGCGGCCCCGACCGTCCACCCGAAGAAAAACGCGCCGCTGGTCAGAGCCATCCGGGACTCCCCTTGCTAACAGCTGGCTGTGCGCTAACGAGCAAGTTTGTTTTGGAGACGGGCGATCGGACATACAACCCGGAAGGCTTCGAAGAGCAAAAAGGAGAAATTCGGGAAGGGGCCGAGGAAAAGCCCAGCCAGCTCTCTAGATCAGTCGGGGAACTGTAGAACCTCCGGCGGGACTCTGCGATTTATGTAACCCGAAGACTGCTGCGAGAAACGGATAAAGGGGGAGAGGCAGGCGGGGTAGAGCCACGACTCCCGCCCTTTCCAGCTCCGAGACATACGCAAGCCTTAACTGTCGCTGCAGCATGTAAGTAAATACTCATCCACGTGCCTCTCTCCTTTCCGGACCTGCCTTTTCGGGGGGCCCATCGCTAGAATGGGCCACTCGCCAACTCCAGAGGGCAGAAACTGGGAAGGGCGGCTCCTCCTGCTCCCAACTCTCGTTGCAAATCCCCCGAGGGGTTGGCTTTCCTGCTATGTTGCCCTTCGAACTGGAGCGTTTGAAGCTCTACAGAGGACTTCGTGGTGGTTGTTTTGTTCTACGACAGGGGTGTCAAACATTATTTCATTGAGGGCCGCATCAGCGCTGTGTTTCATCTCGGGAGACGGGGTAGAAGTGGCCAGCTATACGTCACTCGTGTGGCCCTGCGGGTCAGATGTAATGGCCCGGATCTGTCCCCCCACTTGAATTTCACACCCCTGTTCCAGGAGTAGCCCAACTCTGTCTTCCCCTGTGGTAGTTGCATTAGCACTAATCTGCCTGTTGGTTAGCAACAGCTACAGAAAGGTGTGTGTGTGTGTGTGTGCGCACGCACACACACAGAGACGTTGCATGCACACAAATGTTGCAATAAATGAAATGACTGTCCATTAAACCAATGAGCTCTTTCTATTGTAGAGCCCATACATCACCAAGTGGTAGTTTCTGCCATGCTTTCTCATCCCTTGCCCATGAACTCCACATCTTCCTTACTCCTTGTGTAGGAAGTCAGCAGACACCTCCACCCTGAGAATGAAATATTTGGGGGAATATTAAAAGAGGCAGGATAGAATATTTCCCCTAAAGTAGAAATGGAAACAATCTTAACAAAGGCAGAAAGCAGCCCCAGTCTCAAGCAAAAATGTGAAGAGGCCATTAGGAGATTTTGTAACAATTCAGAAAGATTGGGCCACTCTTCATAAGCAAAGAGCAAACATACTCCTCAAAAGCAACACAATTAGGCAAGCCAAAAGTTGAAAAGACAAACACCCAGAATTTGCATTTCTCTTTTGTCTATAGAGCCAGCCATGACCTCATAGGAATCTGACAATAGCCATTAGAATATTAGGAACAGGAATCCCAAATACAAAGCCCAAAGATTATATAAAAATTCACCTACTCTCCACTCCATTTTGTCAGCCGTCACAGAACCTGCATGCTGTGTGTGTGTTGGTTTTGCTCATCAATAAACGGACCTTCTTTCTCAAGCAGCTTCCATTTTATTCCCGCCTTGGAGCTTGAGCTGGATTTTTCTTCCAACACTTCTTTCATTTTTTGTGTAATCTCTTTATGTCTACTTGGAAAGCTGAAACTACTGTGTATGCTTTTTCTTACAAAGTTTCCATGAGCCTACAAAAGTAAGTCAAAACGAACAAACGGTCTGCTCTCTTTCCCTAATGCTTGGGTTCTTGTAGCATCAGAACAACTTCCTTATCTTTGAGAGAAAATAACTTTTGTTTTTCAGACATTTCATTCTAGGAAATTAAACACCAAGAACAAAGCATTAAATGGGGAGCATTTCTGCATTTTACTGAATCTCAATATTAAACATTTGAAGAATGGTTGCAGGAACTGGGTAAGTCTAGTATAATGAAGGACTAGGACTGATATCAGGGGCTGCCACAAAGAAGAGCGGTCAACCTATGCTCCAAAGCACCTGAAGGTAGAACATGAAGTAGTAGATGGAAATTTATCAATTTATCTAATCTAGAACTCAGGAGAAATTTCCTGACAGAATAATTAATCAGTGGAAAAGCTTGCCTCCAGAAACTGTGGGTGCTTCATCCCTGGAGGTTCTTAAAAAGAGATTGGATAGCCATTTGTCTGAAATGGTACAGGGCAGCAGTTCCCAACCTTTCTGCATTGGTGGCCATGCGGGGGGGGGATGTGAATAGCGGGGTGCATGTGAGTGGCAGATGCACACATACACACAGCTCCATTTGTGCAAGCAGGGGGCACATGCATCCTCCACTCACACAAATGGAATTTCCCGCATCAGTGGAGGGTTCTTGCACTCATGAAGTTCCACTCATGTGAATGGCAAACCCTTGTGCCCATGTGCAAAGCTCCACTTGCATGTATATAGGGTGCTTGAACAGAGGGTGCTTGCGTTCACATGTGAAGCTCCGCTCACATGAGTGGAGTTTCACATGCAGGCATAAGTGCTCTCTATTCAAGCATCCTCCGCTTCCACAAATGGAGCTTTGTGTGTGATAAGGGCCCGCCACTCTCAGGAGTGGTGTTTTGTGCTTGAGCATAAGGGCCTGCCACTCGCACCAGTGGAGATTTGTGCATCACGTTTGACTGTCACTAATGCAGCCCTGTTTGAAACAGGCAGGGCCTCATAGTGGTCCGCGACCTGGGGTTTGGGCACCCTTGGTATAGGGTCTCAGGCTTGAGCAGGGGATTGCACCAGAAGAACTGCAAGGTCCCTGTTTTTCAATATGGACTTAAGTCCCACAAAATTCCCCTAGGTTATTTCTGACAAATATCTATGGTGCATATTAGCACTATTTGAGTACAATTTCCTTTAAAAAAATACGTAATGATTCAATTCATATGACCAGCACTCTCAATTAATGCTAGAAATCTTTACAACTAACACAAGTAGCACTTACTATGGTCACCAACCTTTTGGGCACCAGGGACTAGTTCTGTGGAGAAAGGTTTTTCCATGAATCCGAGGGGCATGGTTTCATGTGCTGGCTGTATCACGTGGATGCAGCTTTGTTTGTTTGCATGGCCCAGTTAAAAAACTAACTGACTCTCAATTTGATTCACTTTGATTCCTGATAAAAGCATGCTTTACTGGAAGCATGGTTAGTTAGCCACAGGCTAAGAGTAATTACTTTATCTTGCTTCTGTAGAGCATGAATTGGCATGTTGAACAAGTTCAGCCAGTAAAGGACTGTTACTTATAACCAGTAAAGGATTTAGTTATATCAAGGGACTTATTTATCTTGATGTACACAGCTGGCCCTTTGTAAGAGCATATAAAATGTTAACAGTCCTTCACTTGTTTAGATTAAGTTTGGCAATAGAATAATAAGACTTGCTCCGAATCTTGACTTTTCTATATGTATCTTGTTGTGTACAAAGTGTATGTAGAATTATGGCACATAACAGGTGGTTAAGGCACCAGGCTAGAAACCAGGATATGGTGAGTTTTGCCTTATGCAGGAAAGCCTGCTGGATGACCTTGACCTAGTAGTTACTCCCTCTCAGCCCAACCCATCTCACGGGATTGTTATTGAGGGGAAAATAGGAGAAGAAAGGAATATTAGGCATGTTTGGCTCCTTCAATTGTATATGAAAAAAGCAAGATTATTATTATTTTTTTAAAAAGAGCACTGGTCATATGAACACAACATCATGCATGTTTAGCTTTAATATGCATACAATAGTAATATGTATTGCAATTATTTAGAATATATTTAATCTTAATTTAGAGTAAAAATATGACAGTACACTTCAGAGCAGCGATTTAAAAATAGCAACAAAACGTACTGTAACTTATCTCGTCCCAAAGGTGCTTTTTCAAAAGGCAATTGCGCATTCTTTGTCTTTCACTTCTCATGCAAGAAGCTTCTTCATTTCTGATGCTTCCTGAATGAGAAGCTTCTTGTATGAGAAGCAAAATGTCTTCAAGGAAAAACAAAGCACCTTTGCAACAACCATGACCTGAATGGCTGAGAATCTCAATAGGCTTTCTGAGATCTTGAGAAGCTTGCATTATGCAAGAGCTTTTGAAAAACTGAACACATGCAAACTTTTTGCAACTTGTTATAGGCCAGAAAAAGACATTGTGTGTGTGCGCGTGTGAGCGCTCGTGTGTGTGCATGTACGTACATACATACATACACATACACAAATACAGAAATGTGGTGATCCCAGTATCTGCTTAGAAACTAAGCTAAGAATATATTGTTCATTCTATATGTAATTTGGAATTATTTTAGCATTCTTGGTTTAGACTTTATTTGCTAATGCAATATAAGTATCCCCTAAGACCTAGGAACAAGTTAAGCAATGCTTTTAAGATTTACTTTTAAAAAGCAATTGAAAACATAATTTAATTTCTGCTTGCAGTTCTTAGGGTCTGCATAATACATTTGTTTTAAATGTATGAAAATATTTTGTAGCCTACCTTAACAGCATATTATTGATAATGTGCAAATTTGTAATGTCCGATATTATTTGAAATGCTCTTGGGTATACATTTCATAAATATTGCTTGCTTCTTGATAAATAAGGGGGCAATTCTTTATCATAATCAGAGTTTATTTACCTCTTTATGGCAACTTCACATTATAAATATAATTTAAAACAAGAAAATAATAGGTAGAATTGAGTGGATCATTCCTGTTTTGCTGTATTAAGTTGCAAAAATATCACAAATTTATTGCAGAGGATTATGTACATGGAAGGAACACACTCTCTCTCTATTGATGGCTAACAATATATGAAAATAATCCAAGCACACTTGCCAGTTCAAAGCTATAAACAGACTGGAAACAAAAAAACAAACCAAAAGGACTATGTGTTGAATGGAAACAAGTATTGGGTAACAGTAGTCTCACTACTGTAAGTCCTCATCACTGTGTGGGCATACTGCAGAGGCGGTATTTAGCAGGTTCTGACCAGTTCTGGAGAACTGATAGCGGAAATTTTGAGTAGTTTGGAGAACCGGTAAATACCACCTCTGACTGGTCCCACCCCCATCTATTCTCTGCCTCTCAAGTCCTGGAGTGGGGAGGGAATGGAGATTTTACCCGTCCCCTGCCACGCCCACCAAGCCATGCCAATGCCCACAGAACGGGTAATAAAAAATTTTGAATCCCACAACTGGCACACTGCTGTACAATTCCTACTGGATGCTTCATTTCTCCATGGCATAAGAAGTCATTTCTAGAAATAAAAACTTATTATTCTTTGAAAGTATCCAAGATCTAAGTCACAAAAATGTACAGAATCATAATCACTAGTGGCACGCATAGAAAATAGGAGATTCTGACTCTGGTGACATCAAATGATTAACTGGATTTCTGTACCTGACATATGGACACATGTTCCATGGGACAGTTCACTCATGAGGCTTTCTATTTGCATTTTCTATTTTTCTACATCACCTCATCAGTGTGCCTGAAACTATCAAGTTTGTCCTGAAAGATCTGTAAGAATTAGAAAAAAATGTTAGGTATTATCAAGAAGCTTAAATCTTCCAGAAATGGCATTTTTCCTGGTCCCCATAGTTGTTCTCCTTGGATCCAGCCAACCTTATTTATTTCAGTTTGGCTGCAGCACAGGTGAAATCAGAGCACTTATATTTTGAAGCTTGTATACTGAAATTATGCAATGTTTTGAAACAGGATATTTAATACTGAAATTCTTGCCTCCACCCTTGAATTCAAAACAACTTACCTGTGAAATATTTCTCAATCCTTGTAGTCATTTTCACTGATCCAGTAAACAAAGTATGTCCAGGTTGAGATTCCCTGTTCACATAAGCTGCCCAATCTTCCAGATTCCAAAGAGCCAGTTCTCAGCACATTACCACATGCATTATCCACATAAACCTACATTTAAGCCTGCCTCTAAGATTGCAGATCATCAAGAAAGTTAAAAAAAATATAAATTGATACTGATTAATTTTAAAAGAGGGGAGCGCTGATTGGCACATAAAGTTTCCTGCCAACTCTAAGCATTCTGAGGTTGTTGAGAAAAAGAAAGTCACACAACTAATTTGCAAATGCTTTGCCATTGAGAGTAGAAAATGCTGCCATGATGGCCCCCAACTTTGTGGACACTAGAGTTCGGTTCCATAGAGAAAGGTTTTTTCATGGATGAGGGGGCGTGGTTTTGCATGCTGCCTGCATCCCGCAGATGGGGCTTGCATGGCATGGTTGCTGGCATGCTGTAGATCAGAGCCAGTCCATGGACCTGGTGTTGGGTTCCCCTGTTTTACAAGTTATAATCTACAAAAACATAATAGTCATTTTCCCATGGTGCTATAATATGAACAGCAGCACAAAGAGCTTGTATTTGAACAAGTTGATTGTTAGTTTTTATGAACATCCACATTTATGAACAAGGATTTTCCTATTGCAAACAAAGTGGTAACTAAAAGGTTTAATCACTGAACTTAAAAAGTGTTTATTATTTCTCAGTAAACAAATATATTCTCTTTTCCTGTTCTCTTATTTTTTATCTTTTTTTTGTTTTTTTGTTTTTGTTATCTGGCACTGAAGCAACACATTCTTAAACATTCTATATAAAATCTTCCTATTTTATATCACGATTTTAGGATTAGTAAAGTTTTTACAACCACATCTACAGGTTCAAAAGAGACTTCTGGGATTGTTTATGGAAGGAAAGGTTAATCCTCCCAGTGCACTGTAATCCCAATGAAATTTCTGTCCAATTTAAATAAAAGCAACATGCTATTAATTGGTCCTCTGTGTTTATTAGATGTAACCAAAGACCTGTTTTTACCTTCCATTGTGCTGGTCTCCATTAATGGAGATTAGCATCCAATTGCTTTCTTAGACATAGTTCAAGGACATCCTTGTGTCACGTATCTCCTGAACTTACCCAACTCCATTTTCAAGCTGAAGTATTTTCCCTCCTACGCTTCAGTGTCTGGGAATGTCAAGAGCTAGAGATACAAGCTGAGTGCACAGCTGATTGAAGGCAAATGTCTTGTGCTCATTTCTCTATACAGAAATGAAATTTCTTGCTATAATTGGCACGATCCAATCAACATCAGATATTGTCATTCATGGTGTGGTTGAATCACATTAATCCAAGACACTATTGGAGCATTTGAATTTCCATCACATGTAGAGCCTGCTCTTGCCAGCACTTGGATCCAAAGAGGGCGACTGGGCGCATTACCATTCTGTAAATATTTGACTTGAAGCATAGAGGCATCCGACAATTACACAGGATTCCATTCACCTGGCATCACTTCATCCAGCAGGCGTAGACACAGGCACGGGCATCTGGAAACCTATAACCATTGCTGCATATGAGGGAGCTGAACTACTTGAATCATTCCACTTTCTTCAGGTCTTCTCCATCAATGCTGATGTTCCAATGGTTTGGGGGCCACATTGCATAATTCCACTTTTTTGATGTTCAGTCAAAGTCCAAATTCATCAAAATGTTCACAGTAACAGCATGTGATATTATTATGCAGTGAGTGTGGACAGCTTGATTTCCATTTATGAGCAAATCAGGAGCATCAGAAGATGAAAGAAAAATGAATGATTCTGAAGGGTCTTTCTCCCCAGTAATCTAACCTGCAAATTAGTACACTCACTTGGTCATGGTGCTATAAGGGGAGAAATCTTGTTTTGCCCTTTTTTTCTTAAAACAAAGAAAAAAACATAGTGAAAGGTAGAGTTTTTGCAATCAGGCTGCTCCCTAAAATCAAGATGAAGCTATTTCAAATCCCCCCTCCCCCCGGTTAATAAAACAGCTTTCACAGCTACATCCTGCTCTTTGTGCATCCATAGAACCGATTATATCCTTGAACATATTTTTCACAGAGTCTCAAACTGCTCTCACTGAAATATTTTCAGGTATTTGAAGAGGGCTGCAATTCTAGAGCTTCCAAAAGTCACAGAACAACTGTTAAAGGGTATGAGGCTGACCTTTTTTTTTCATCTAATTTTGGTGGCTCTGATGGATATGGGAGGTGACAAAAGGTAACCCAAACTGTTGTTTCCATTAACCTTGTTTGGGGGGGGGGGTTGATAATACAAATTGGGGTACTGAAACCTCCAATTTCAAACTTGGAAAAAATCCCAAATAATAGTCTGAAGTTGACTTGCAAAAATGGCTGTAAATGGGTATCCGAAGCCAGGGTTAAAAATGGCAATGGGAGTGGAGACGCTACTTTGTTTATGAATGCAAAGAGAATGAAAAATACACAAACACACGTGAACAATTTGTCATTTTGGCACAGAAATTCAGCATGCAATCTCATAGTGTGATAGAAGGTGCATGGTCTGGAGTTTTGGGTCATTGATACAGCAACAATTACCACAATATTTTTTCTATAAATGCCTTAGGAAAGCATTTATTTGACAGACAACTTAAATCTTAGCTAAACGTTGTTAACTGCTGCAACTTCTATTTATTATTTATTTGATTTACATAGCTACTAATTTCACATATGTGACTTTAGACAGCTTATCATTACCGATATATTCTTTTTCATGCTTTTAATGATGTCATTTTGTATCACTTTTAATTGTTATAAAATTCTCTGGATATTGTATTAAAGGCCAGTATTTTAAACCAATATTTCCAAAGAAACACATTTCTTGGGGGTGAATCCAGTCTGATTTAAAACTTTCTTAGTGCTGCACTGAAGCTGCTTACATGATTCTTGATGAGGCAATGAGTTCATCTTAATTTCCAGGTTGCACATTTTACCACTGTATCTTATTTTACTCTCTTCCCACACTGATATGCAAATTTGATTTTAAAAGTAACTGGGTAAAAGGTTTATGCATTTGTATATCCATTAAAGCCAACATACAGATTTTTAATAGTATTATATTCAGTTTTGGAAGTGCTTTTTTATTAATAGTTCTATGCATTCATCATATTATAGCATTTAACATTTTTAAAAATCTATTTCAACATATAAATTATACATATATATTTGGAAAGGGTAAATTGGATAAGTTCTCATAAAAATACAAATTTAAAGTTTAGAAAGCAATTTCTAAACTTTAACATTCTATATACATTTTTACAGATTCGTTTGATTTTGAAGGATATTATAAATTGGGCTGCTGAATGAGTAGACAAAAATATCTGATTTACATTTGACATTAACAATTTTAGAAAGCAAAAACCTGACAATTCAGTAACAGGTTCAGTTCATGATGATGTGCCTAAGTTATTCTGCATGAATAAACTCATCTGCATTATTTTATAGCTCTTGACTTATTAATAATTGTCAATAAATGAAATTGCTCTCTAAATTATCCTTCAATAGTCACAAGCTGAATAAACAACAATAAGATGATTAGGGATTATATTTTTAAAAAGGCAAAGGAAAACTACCTACAATAGTATGTTGCTTGAAGATATTTTATATAACAAATAGATAGGCCAAAAATTATAGCAAGGGGACTATACAGCAGAAACAAGAGGCAGGAAAATTTAAATTCTAATTTCTACATACTTAAAGATTTCTGCTTACAAATAGTACAAAAAAATCTTTCTTAACTAAAAACACTGTTCAGGAAAGAATATTGATTCCTTCTGCACTGTCTTTTAATACTTAACTGATTAACAGAGTTAACATACTAATTAATTTGCAAGACAAGATGGCTGGTACAATGATTAGTGTGGTGGTTGGGGTTAGCATGTGCTCCACCTAGGCATCTGGAAAGAATCTGGGACAAATTGAGCATTCCCAACTTATGATTATCAGGGCTCTGCACATAACACCTTATGAAACTCCCCAAATCAAATCTTTGGATTACACTGCAGTTGCCAAAGGGAGCTACACAATTCAGAACGTTAACAAGTGGCTGGCTGGTGCTACGTGGGTGTAAAAGGGCTGAAGCATTTTCAAATTTCCTTTCAAATCCAAAACTCACAACATCAATCCTCATAACCGTAATTATTATTATTGAAAAATCACATAATAGATATTACAAAGGTATCAATCTGCTCATCTAAGGATATAAACCATGGAATTATATTAACATATTGAGTTCAGTTTTTATTCTGGTTGATGTATGCTTTCAGCATGTGTATACAGTATGCATAACCTTTTAAGTGCATATTTATTTATTTATTTATTTATTTGTTTATTAAATTTGTTGCCCATCTTGTTCCACAGGAATTCTGGGCGGCTTACACAGGGGTGGGTTACTGCCGGCGTTACTGCCAGTTCGCAACCCGCGTGCAACATGCATGTGTGCGCTGGTTCGGGGACGTGGCAGGCCTGGGTTGGTGCCCGTTCTGTGCCACAGGCCTGAATTCCACTACTAGTTCAGCCGAACTGGACCGAATCAGTAGCAACCCATCTCTGGACTTACAGTATTAAAAGCACTGAATATTTCTAAAACAATAAAAATGGAATGGAAAGATATAAAAGTATAGTTAAAAGATAGGAAGTGGAGAACAGGATGAACAGAAGTGGGATTGCCTCTTAATTCATCAACTACTTCCATTGTGATGTTGCCTCATTGGGATCCCAAGCTATCTGCCAGAACCAGATCTTTAGGCTCTTGCGGAAGATCAAAAGGGTGAGAACCAATCAAACCTCAGGGATAGGAGGCACGGCAGAGACGACCCTTCTCGTTGACCCCATCAGCCAAAATTCCTTGACTGAGGGGCTCCGCAGCATGCATGCTCTGCCAGCATGGGTGGGATGGGCAATCCCAATGGGGTGAGAGAGTTCTTCAAATAACCTGGACTCATGCTATGCAGGCATTTAAAAGTAATAACCCACACCTTGAATTGCATCTGAAAACAAACCAGCAACCAGTGTAGTTCATGGAACAGTGGTGAAACATGAGCCACCCACAAGAACTCCCTGTACTGCCGCATTCTGCACAATGCTCTGAATGCTCTTCAAGCATAGCCCATATAGAGAACATTGCGTAGTCCAAACATTGAAATGCCTTTCAAAATTTAGTTATATTTTCACTAATTTGTGAGTCTAAAAAAATATTTAGAAGGGCCCACAAGCATGTTTCAGGGGCTTTTGGAATAAGGAAGCTATGCAACTGCAAAGACCTTTTTCTGCAGGAAACAAACTAAATTTTAGGTAAGAATTGTTTGCATTAGGGCCATATTTTGTGGTGACGCTCATGTTTTATTTTATTCTTTATTTTTAAACAAGGGTGCTGTTTTATATCAGAAGACTTTTAGAAACACACTGCATATGAATACAGAAATGTTCAACTCTTTCAGGAAAGTATAGTTGATGACATTTAAAATGTAGAAGAATGCAAAAACCATGACCAATTACTATTTTCAAAGGTCTTCTGAAAATCATAAAATGAAGACTGATATATAATTCGGCTTAGCTCTAATTGTGAATTGGGTCCACATAAAAAAATAGGAACATAAAGGCCTCTTTCTTATTCAGTTTAGTAGAAATTTATACTTTTAGAAACCAAATGGCACTCTACATTCAGGCAATACGCACACATACTGAACACTCAGAGGCAAAATTTCAGTATTCCTAGGGATTGTTGCATTATTGAGGATTTTGACTGTGTGGCAATAATATTTTCTTCTCTTCTTTCTCCTATATGTCATTAAGCAACTTGAAATCTTCTCCTAGAGAGAGAAGTATTTTTCTGGAATGACCTGGCATGGAACTGTGAACCTGTAAGAAAAAAAAAAGAATCGGGCAATAGATACTTAAGTAGATACAGTCCACTGCAACCAGAAGATATAACCCTGATTATTTTTCAGAAGCCTACTTTCTAGTGTTAGTTCTGTGCTGCAGAAGCGGCTAATTTAAACCAGGAAAGACACCCAGGTTCTGTAACTGTGTGCCCTTAATTCTGTCACCAAGAAGTGTTTACCGATCACTCATTCAATGACTCTTCCACTACATTAAACAAGAAGTTATGACTGGTCCTTGTGCACATAGCTTGCCCAGCAACGCCACACTATTTACAACAATTGCAACATTTTGCAGTCACCTAATCACACTTAGCAACTTTTCTTCCCAGCTTCCCCTAAGCAAAGTCAATGGGAAAATCCACAAGGAAAGTTGCAGTCACTTCTCCACCTTCCTGCACACTGGATTATGCCTTCCTTTCCATTGGCCTCTTTGTGCTGACATGCACCTGCATCCAACTTCCTTCAGCTACTGCACAACAGAACCCCCTGAACTCAAATCCAACCTGAGATGGGCCTCCCAGGGCTTTTCCATTCCCCACAAACCCCATATCCCTTAACTGTGAACCCTACCACTTCCCACTTAAAGACCTGCACATTTGGGGATACAATAACAATAGGGACTGCCTGGACTGTCATTCCTAAAACATGCAGTCACATGACCCCAATCCCAGCTGCTGCTGTAATCCAGGGACTACCTATACAGTTTTCTGCTGCTTTTGCCCTACTTTCCCTGTTTTTATTCCTAGAGAAAGGAAGGAGTATTTTTCCTGCTAGCATGGCTTCTTATAGCTTTTGCTGGCTCTATTGCAGTGCCTGCTGAGGACAATTTCTCATTACTGATTCCTCCTGCAGCCCTTCTCTATCTCCTATCTAGATGGATAGATCTCAGGTATGGAAATGTCAATGAGAAAACCCACAGGGATTTACTTTGCAGGTTGAAACAGATCAGAGTGCCCTATGTTTAGTATGAGCACCATCCAAAGTTTCTCTGGTTGGACCTAAGTGTTATTAAATAAATAAATATAGAAATAGCTAGACCAAATAAACTGAAGAGAAATGTCATGCACATAATCATATGTAAATAGTTACTTCAATATTACAAAACAATGGCATCTTTATGTCTTCTCATCTTTCAACACTTCATGAATCTATGGGAGTTTTGCAATTTACATTCTTTTATTTGGAAAATTGTTTTCACTTCATATGCATCTCACTTATTAGGAAGAATATATTTGGACTTGAAAGTATTCTGACATGGTACTAGTTATGTTGCACATATGGTCAGCTAAGTTTAGAAGATTTTAAAATAGTAATAATTAGTTTGGGTGCAGAAAGAGAAGGAAAAACATTGCTTGTTGTTGGTTTTCTTTGCATATAATCCCTAGAAGAATGATGTTTTGGTCAAAGAGTTGTAGTATAGAGAAAAACAGACTGCTTGGCCTCAGCAACCTACTTCAAGAAAGCCAACAGTTTTTTCAGAATGCACATAGCACACTAGTTCCTCTGGGTAGGTGAAGTGGCTCTGCAAATACTTCAATAGGGTTAGATAGGTTAAATCCAATACCAAATTGCAGCTGGAAGCATATTAGCAACCAAGACAGTATATGTATCACAGATCTAATGTACTCCTGGCACATAGTGCCAGATAATAAGTTATTTAATTGCTGCATTTTACATCAATTGTACCTTCAAATGGGCTTTAAAGGTAGCTCCACATAGAGCACATTGTGGGTATTAAATCAGGATAGGAGATATAGCAATAGCACTTAGACTTATATACCACTCCATAGTGCTTTACAGCACTCTCTGAGCCGGTTTATAAATGTTAGCATACTGCCCCCATCAATCTGGGTCCTCATTTTATGAACCTTAGAAGGATGGAAGGCTGAGTCAACCTTGAACCATCAGGATCAAACTCCTGGTTGTGGGTAAAGTTAGCCTTCAGTGTTCCATTCAAACCATTTCAGTAAATATGCTTTCTACTATAATCTGAATGGATATTGAGATGGTAAATTTATTAGCAGTTAATCATCACCCAGTATTCCTTAAACATATATCCCTCAACCCTAAAGAAATCCATTACTGTCGGCTTTTTAAAGTGGGAGTTGACAGGAATGGAATGTACGGTATTTCAATGAGATTTCAGTATTACAACAGACACTTGAAAACTTATCAACTTTCTTCTCTGTTTCTCATATCACAATCAAGGCAAATTGTTTTGAATTGATTTCTCATGTTTTCTACTTTCCCAGCCCTCAGATATCTCATTTTGTAACTGTTCAGCATTCTTTTTTCCTCTTCTCCAAGTCAAACCCCCATTTCATCACAATCATCAAAATATTTCCTTGACTTAGAACTCTCAAGTGCAACATTTTTGGCTACATTTATCAAGGAAGTAGAATCCCTGTAAGAGATTCTGAAACACATCTGAAAGAGGCTGACCATTTCACTTTTGGCCAGCATATGAAACCAGGATTGCTTTGACCAGTTTAGAAGATAATGTATACGCAAGAACTAAATGTGGATTACAGAAAAATTATTTTACATTAGCAGAGCTGGGCCTTTCAACCCTATTCTATCTGCTATATTTACTGTCACAGGATTGTGGTGGGAGATGACTTTTGACATTGAAGTGCTTGGTCTTCTGTGTTCTCTTCTGCTGTTCAATATCTCCCTGAAATCATTGGTAGATGTTATATGGATGCCTTAAGAATGCAAATGGCAGGTAGTTCAGTTATTCTCAGAGATTTAAATCCAAGGAAACAACCAATTCTTAGCAGATTGTTAAGTTCAGTAATGCTGGACAAAGTAAACAATAGCAATAGCAATAGCAGTAGACTTATATACCGCTTCATAGGGCTTTCAGCCCTCTCTAAGCAGTTTACAGAGAGTCAACATATTGCCCCCAACAATCTGGGTCCTCATTTTACCCACCTCGGAAGGATGGAAGGCTGAGTCAACCCTGAGCCGGTGAGATTTGAACCGCTGAACTGCTGATCTAGCAGTAGCCTGCAGTGCTGCATTTAACCACTGCGCCACCTTGGCTCTTAGCTGTAATTTAGTCCAGAAGCTGTAATTTAGTCCAGAAGCTATCGAGGAGTGTTCATTAACTCAGCTTCTGGATTAATTTCATCTTATTTTGGGTGAAATTGTTCTTCCTCTCAAAAATCAGGTTTCTAGGAGCACACCTTGACTCAGTGCTCTCTCTCCAAACAGACATTCCCAACACCAGTGATAGCTATATAATTACATCTAGTGTGCCAACTGCAACCGAGCCAGATAGACGCCCACAGCAATTTATCTAAAGCAATGTATTCAATGAAGGACTATTATTGAAATGCATCCAAAAACTTTAGGTGCTGCCAGTCAGGTGGATAAGCAGTAAATAATAACAGAAAACCATGTTGAAAGATTTGTATAGGTGAGCACCATTTTTTCCAATTTAATAGTCTTGGCTTTGGCCTCTGACCTTAATGAATTCTGAACTTAGCTTTCTAAGGGACCACCTATCTCAATATGAACCTATTCTAAGGTCAGCAGGAGAGGCTATCTTAAACTTTCCTTGTTTTCTAAGGTCTCTTTGCTGGGCATATAGGAAAGAGCTCTCAAATGCCAGCATGTTAAATATAATAATTTTGAAATCATTTCTATAATCCTAAAGCATATAGTCTTTTTGAAAAATATACTTATGAAACAGATCTTACCTGTTACTACCCCTTGGCCTGTCCACAACTGATTCGCAAGATCCATAGAAGTTAGTGATCTTTTCTGAGGTGTATCTGACTGAAAAAGATATATGGTGCTTTAAATTAGTAATATGCTTTGCTTCTTTTGATAATTAGATATTAGATTAGAAGCAAGGAAATCCAAGGTGTAGTCCTCCCTTAGTCACAAAGGAATTTGCCTGGGAAGAAATTGGAAGATTTACAGCATCTGGGAAGATGCAAACGGAGGGGGCTGGAAAGGCTAATTCTACACATGGCTGGAGGCGACAAGATGATTGGAGCCTCCCAGACCAACTTGTGCAGCCAAACATGAGTGCATGCTCCCCTCCTTCCCCAACCAAGGCTCGCGGAAAAAAACTAGGGTGGAGATTTTGACTCCTTCCAAACAGCAATAAATGAAATGACCCATTGCCCTGCAACTGAGTTGAAGACAGATTCCACATCAACGTGAGGAATTCAAACCACCAGCAGAAAGAGGCTTGGGCCATATCCTCCCCTAGTCAGCCATCGATGTTGGGGCTGCAACCTATGAATGGGTTTTCTTCACAGGTCATGGATGGGAGAGATGTCAGTGGGCACCTGCTCTCCCTCAGCAGATGGCAGCATGGCAGATAACTAGACAGTGGCCATCCCAGGGATTGACACTCCCCCCCACCGTCCAGTCTCACCTGCAATGCCCCAACAGGTTCTTACCCCACCTTTCTACAGAGAAGAGTTCTCAACAATGGAAGAAGGGATGAATGGGGGGGGGAAGCTGCAGGATGGATAGTGGAACAATGTGATGAGGTGGTTCCTAAGTTTAGAGATGTAATTGGGTTCCTTCCTTGGGGGGGGGGCGAATAAAATGACCGTTGCTGTCAACTTGGCCACAAAGCGTCAGAGTGCTTGGCTCCAGCCCCAATGTCACGAACGTGTGCACCAACCACCACGGTGGTAAAGAGAAGGCCCAGATGCCACCAGAAAAGAGTCATCTGGGCCAACAACCTCAGAAAGAGGATCCCCAACCTAAGGTGATGAAGAGTCCTCCCAATGGGGAGGCCTCGAGGAGGAAAATGCCGAGGATGACCCAATGGTGAGTGCACCCATCAGTCCCTTCGCCTTCCAAGCCAAGCTCCAAGTACCCAAAACAGGGGTGGAAGGGAAAGTTGAAGCAGTCGTGGACACCGGCTGCACTCAATGCTTAATCAGCATGTCGATTGTAAAGCAACTAGGCATATGCACAAGACCTCTAGCCTGTCCCATTCGGATTGAGCAGGTAGATGGAACGCTAATTGGAGGGACCCCAGCCATGCTAATGACCGAACTGGTAAAGTTACAAGTGGGCCACCACTATGAGCTTCTCAGATTCATTGAGGCTCCAGAGATACCAGAATATATTATCTTGGGGCTTGCATGGCTTGACTACAATAGCCTACGATAAAGTGGGAAGGCGGCGGTAGGAAATTGATGATCGCGTTTGGCCCACTACCATTGGTGGAGCCAAAGGGACAATTGAACCCAAGAGCCCAAAACCTGCCACACCTGCAGCAGGGACAAAAACCCAAGGGGTCCAAAAAGTACCAAAAAACTTGTTGGAGGATGTTTTGTGAAGAAAACCGCAGTACAATAGTAAGAAGGGAAAAATTGTTCACCCCATTCTTTCTTCCTCCCACCAAAAGGCAGCCCAAGTCACTAACTGAAGCCAGGATAAGCTGATGACAGCTATGAAATTGGCACTCCCAACAGACCAGTGGCTCAACAATAACCAGGATATCCTAATGATGAAAAATGGATTAACCTGGAAGGGGTTCAAACTATACGTCCCTGCAAGGTTGAGGTTGGAAGTTCTACAGCAGAGCCATGAGGCAGAACTAGGAGGCCACTTTGGATTCCTAAAAACATTCCACCTCGCCAGGCATCAATTTTGGTGGCCAAAGATGGAATTGGAGGTGGAAGATTATGTAAAAAGCTGTGCTACTTGCGCAACGAAGAAAACACTGCCAGAGAAGCCCCATGGAATACTACAACAAGTGGCTAGCCCTAACTGACCATGGGAAGAGATCACAATGGACTTCATCGTCGAAATCCCAGCCAGCAGTTGGAATAGAGTAATCTGGACAGATTGATTTGGTTTCCAAGCAGGCACACTTCATCACTTGCTCAGGGTTGCTGTCCGCAAAGAAATTAGCAAAAATGTTTGTGAAACACATTTATCGCCTGAACAGGGTGCCCAAGAGGATCATTTCAGACTGTGGAGTCCAGTTCACAGGCAAGTTCTGTAGAGAGTTCCTGAGATCCATTGGGTCCACACAAGGACTGAGCTCAGAAGTTCATCTTAGCATGAACCACGCAGCAGAAAGGGCCAATGCAATGGTGGAACAATACATCCGGTGTTATGTGGACTATCAGCAAGACAACTGGTTGGACTTGCTACCCTATCAGCAAGACAACTGGTTGGACTTGCTACCCTTTGTCGAAGTGGCGTACAGCAACGAGGTCCACAGCAGATGGGATTAACGGCTTTCCAAATTACCAGTGGCATGGAATTTGTTGCCATGCCTGAGCTGCCTAGAGAACCTCCC